CCGTGTTCCCGCCCGGGGCAGGTGGCCCTCCGGTCCGGCTCGGCCCCTCTGCCCGAGCTCCCCTGCGGGTCCGGCCGCTCCGCTCGCCTTCGAGTTCCGAGCGCCCTGGAGCCGGGGCTACGCGCCCACGTGGCCCCGGCCCCCCCAGTCCCCGCACCCCCGCCGTCCCCTCACCCCCCCCAGCCGACCGCGAGCCCCGACGCGGGGAGCCTGGGGCGGAAGTTCCCAGGGGGGATGCGCTGTGTGGTGCTGACCATTGATCTCTCACGGCATTTTGGATGGGAAATGGCTGTTTCGCAAATTGCTCTCTGCGGCTTGCGTGGGGCGAGGGTAAATAAACACTGGTGTGGTTGCGCGGGCGGCACGTGCGGTGGATGCCCGCGGGGGGGCGGGCAGGGCACGCGGGGCTCCGTTCTGGGCACGTGTGGGGGCAGAAGGATGTCCTGAGACCCCCACCTCTCTGACCCCCGGCGGGCGATGGCCGAGCCGGAGCCTGCAAAGGAAGGTGGGGGAGGGGCGGGGATGCGAAACTTCCCGCCTCCCGAGGATTTCCTGGGAGTCCTCGTCCTCGACTCTGCTTCAAAGTGTCCCTCTCGAAGGCCGAGTGGTTCTAGATCCGCTGTAGGGTCTCGGCCTCGCACCTGAAACTCCCGCACTGAGTTTACGGTCGTCCACACTTGGCCCGAAGCCGCCCCTTCGGAAGGCTGGTGCGAGCGTACAGGGGTGCCCTCGGGGGCATCGCGACGCCGAGAGGGTCTTGCGGTTTCAGGTGCGGCCAGAGCCCGCTAGGGGAGCCAGTCTCTCCGGGACACACGTGCGTCGCAGGAGCCTGGCCGGATTCTCGGGTTGGGACCCGGGTCACCTAGTGCGCTTCCCGCCAAGCGCCTTTGGGTGCCGCGGAGACTCGGCCAGTTGCGTTCAGTGTCCCCAGCAGCCCTTACTTGCGGGAGGGCAGGCAAGTTGCCAGAAGAGAGGTGCGGCCACCTGCGTCAGCCGGGTCAGGTCCACACGGCCTTCTGGCCCCTCCCGCGCGTAACCGAGGTGTCCCACCCGGAGGACGGGTGGGGACAGGGCCTGTGCCTTTCTGCAGGTGACTCTGTGCACCCCAGAGGGAAGGCGTTGCTCCACTGCCAGCTAGGGCTTTGTAAAAGGTTGGGGAGGGAAGCGTGGGACACCCTTGGGTGCTTCAGGGGGACACCAACCTCTGAAAATGGGCCCATTTTCTGGGGGAGAGAAACTCCAAAGACTTCTGATTCTCAGACAAATCTGTGATCCCAAGACCTTGAAGATACTACCCTCCAGGGACATTTGGGGCTGTTTTGGTCATTTGGCCACTGGCCCAGTGAGTTGCAAAGGTTGGAGGCTTTGCGTGGGAAACTCAAAACAAAACAAAACAAAACCAAAGAAAGCAGTTTTAGATTTACAGAAAAATTGGGAAGTTAGTAAAGTTCCCATATACCTCCCTCCACACACACAGTTTCCCCTGTTATTTTTATTTGTTTATTTATGAGTTGGAGTGCAGTGGCATGCTCACAACCACTGTAGCCTTGAACTGCTGGGCTCAGGCAATCCTTCCACCTCAGCCTTCCAAATAGCTGGAGCTATAGGCACCCACCACCACACCGACTAATTTTTTTATTTATTGTTCTCCAAGTTGCCCAGGCTGGTCTCAAACCCCTGAGCTCAGGCAATTCTCTCATCTCAGCCTCTCAAAGTGTTGAGATTATAGGCATGAGCCATGGCGCCTGGTTCCCTGTTATTAAGATCTTAAATTAATATGGCATATTAATGAGCCAATTACATCATCAATCATCATTGTGAACAACATTGTCAACTGAACCCATACTTCTGTCAGGTTTGCATATTTTCCCTGAATATCCTTTTTCTGTTTCAGGACACCACATTACACTTTGTTGTCATGTCTCCTTACAGAACTTGCACTGCTGTGAATTGTCAGAGTCAACAGTCCGGTGAGTGATGGCCGTAGCACTTGGCTGTGGACTTGGTCTTCCTGTTGAGTGTCGAGAATCACAGAAGAAGGCCAAAGCGGGCTGAGTCCAGTCCTGGTCTCTCTGAAGATAAGTGTGGTCGCCTGTCCATGGTGCCCCTGGAGAAGGGAGGCAGAGTTGCAGCCAGGAGAGGCCTCACCTCTGAGTGCCCTGGATCTCTTCCCTCCCTCCCTCCCTCCCTATCA